AAATTCATGATTTATTTTATCTAGTGCTAAATATTCAGTTTTTATTTATATATTAATTAGATCAATATATTTTTTACATAAAATAAAATTACAGTTTTAATATTCCAGCATTTTTGATGCAAAAACAGCAACACGCCTGAATAGGAACAGAGAAAAAGGAGACACACACATATATCTTGCTCTCTTTGTGAGGACTGCACTCACACATACACTAGGGTTGGGCATAATCGTATCGTGTGTGATTAATCGTCAGAAAAACATAAATCAATTAATTTTGGGCACTTAATGATTAATGCCAACAGCTAGAATCCGCTCACTGCTCCTCTCAGCTTCAAATATGACGAACATTAAAAAAGTCCTGTAATTTATTTATCTATCAACACAATTTAAAATTTGATGTATAGCCTGAAGTCTGTAATTTTGACACAGTTTGGAACAGATTTTTATGAAGAGCAAATCTTTCCCACTAAATTGGTCATGTGACTATGAAATAAGTGTGTCCAGGGACTCCAGGGGATTAATCGTCAAATTAATCGTTATCAGCTAAATACCCCAATTAATCGTGATTTATTTTTTTGCCAATATTGCCCAACCCATACACACACACGCAGCGCTCGTAGTCTGCCTCAGTCTGCACCCGTTTTTTTACACCGGGCAAAAAATGCAATTAAACCAGCTGAAGTTAAGTTTAGAGCATACTTTGAAATGTACACCGAAGAAAACCTGCATCACGACTTTTATACTGCAGTCAGAGCAAATGTGATCTGAGCACCGTCTGCCTGCTGCACGGCAGCAGCTCTAACGTAACAGCGAGAAAAGACCGAGAGTTTTTTTGTTTTAATCCAGCAGGGAGAACAGTAGAGGTGTTCTTCTATGCCTCCTGTGAGCAGCTCCAGCATTTTTTTAAAGAAAAACAACGTGGACACGCTAATTACAGTGCGATGCCAAAGCGAAAGTAAAAACATGGCGGCGCTCCCGTTCGAAGTGAAACTTATCTACCACTCATAGTCCGACACAGAGAGCAGAAACAGCTAAATTACACAGTTAAAACACATTAAAAGTTCATAACTCACCCTTGCTGTTGTTAGCACTCAGTCTCACATTAGCAGCAGCTGCTTTCTCCCCGAGGGAGGGGGCGGCAACTTGCGCTCGTGTGACCCAAAGAATGGATCGGCCGATACCGATACAAGGAAAAAAACACAAATATCGGCCGGCCGATGTATCGGTCGACCCCTAATTTAAATATTGATGTGTTTGGAGCATTGTTGTTATCGTACAGACATGTGCAACTGGCACGTGAACTACTGATTCTCAAAAAAGCAGCAACACCGCAGAGGGAGCACGCTTTAATATTAACGCTGAAAAAACATGAAAGACGAAATATTTTATGCCCCATGACGTGTCTACGTTTGACTTAGAATATCTTGTAAAATCACAGTTCTCTGTGTAAGTTTAAGTTTCAGGTGTTTGTAATTTATCTAAAGTTCTTCAAATTTTAATTTTTCCAAGCGTTTTTAATTCCTTTTAATTTTAGTGGAAAAACATGTCAGTTTGGTTAAAAATAAATACAGTAAAAACAATTAAATGTGTTTTTTCTGTGTAAAGAACTACTTGTTCTAATATAATTTTTTTAATAAATATATCAAAGCTCCTCAGTTGAAAACACTAAAATGACAGACGAGCTATTTAAAAATTATTTCTTTATGTCTCCAGCCCTAAAAACACTAAACTGTAACTTTACTAAGGTCATGTACACAGTATACTCCTATTTAAGTAAAAATGTGTGATCTGTACATAGAAAAAAGTTCATGAATGTTGGCTAATCTCTAGGTGTAGGAAAATGTGTAGTAGCAACATTTTTGTTGCTTTAAATCACTGAGCCTGAAATACTCGAGTGTCTCTATTTCAAAGAGTAGGAGGAGAACAAGGATGCTTTACTCAATCAGCTCCTGAAACCAGAAATGAAATATTATGCTAGACTTGTTTCTAAGAGTGGTGGACAACTCCCTGGGTCCTGCAGCACCAAACAAGTACTGCTTTACAACCTTTTCTCATTTGGATGGAACTCTTTCCAGAGTTAAACATGGCAAAGCTGTACAAGAAGCAGCTCTTCCTTGAGGAGCTGGGCAAGATAATTGTACCACTTACAAAAAGAGGCAGTAGCTACAGCTACAGGGGCATCTTTTTTTCTAGGTTGTTGCTGAGGGAGTTCCAGGTCTACAAGCCATCCGATGATGTAAAAACAAGCACGGCCTGTGTGAAATGAGCTAAAATGATCATATTCTGTGTAGGAATGTGCAATATGGCAAAAAATTCATATCATGATATACATTATGATGAGTGGCGGTAACGATATAAATCACGATATAAAACTTATAATAGAAAATAAATAAATCACAYATTAATTGAGTGGAATAAATATGTATAGGTAAAAAAA